CCCCCTCCCTCCCCCACCCCCGTCCCGAGAGCCTGGGAGATGGGCTGGGAGCTGCGAGGACACGCCTCTACGAGAGGCTGTTAGAGCATCAGGGAAGATGGGTTTTCCAGGTTTAGGAAGGGGAAAGACCCATCTGGGGAGATAGTCCGGTTTCTGCGGACCCACGTCAGGGTATCTTGCCCCACCCTAGTACAGTTCAAATCTGTGCCTTCCCTGCTGGAAAGCAGCCTCTCGAAGCTGCACAGCTGCCACCGCTGACCCTAGTCTGAGAGGAAGGCAATGTACACTAATATTTATAGAGGAAACCAGGAAGTGAGGAGGCACAGCCCCAGCTTCCTGATGAGGCTGCTGACTCACACTGCCATGCTTCGGGCCATTTCCTTCGTTTCTTTGTACCTCAGTTTCTCAGCAAAACATGGAGGATGAGAATGGAAACCCCTAGAGGCGCAGGGAACACCTAATTCACATTTATGATTTTTCAGTGCAATTTACAAGGCTTCATTACATGGAATATATCTTTACGGTCATAGCCCAGCATAGGTCGGAATAAGTACCTCAGGTCATCTTCCTGACTGTCCATTCCCTGGCAGTGCCCTCCGGCTCCCTTCCTTAACCTGATCATTTCATTATGTCATCCCTATTAAGTTTTGTTTCTAGAAGACAGGAGCTTTTAATTTCTCTTTGCTCATCCCCGAAGTTGACAGCTTACAAATCTGCGTCCTAGAGACAGTTGCATGGCAGAGAACTGGTAGCCACAGACTATTTTTGGTGGCAGCTCTCTCTGCTGTTTAAGGTGTTTAGATTGCCCTTTCGCGCTAGGTTTTAGTCGTCCCCCCCCCCCTCCCCTTTTCAAAGTGTTGACTTCATTGTTTGGCTAGAGTGAACCCTTCACTTCCTCTTTGGGGGGTCTGTGTTTTGTCTCCTGCTGGGTTTGAAATGTCATGTAATTTGTTGGGTTTTGCTGGATTATGTCCGGTTTTTGTTGCGTTGTTTTTGGCGTTCCGACTTTGTCATCGGTCCCCCAAACCTCACCACCTCTAGCCTTGTTGAAATAAGGAGCGGCGGGGCTGCGTCCCCAACACCCCGGCCGCTTGGCTAGCTCATGCCCGAAATAACAACACACAAACTGTATTCATTTAAAGAACTGCTTGGCCCATGAACTCTAGCCCTTACAGGCCAATTCTCGCACCTGGACTAGCCCATTTCTAATGGTGTGTGTAAGCACCCCAAGGTGCGCTTACCGGGAAGATTCTAGCCTAAGTCCATCGTGGGTTGGAGCTGCCTGGGAGAGCAGAGCATGGCGTCTGTCTGGTCCCTCTGGAAGCAGAGCAGAGTCTGACCTCACTTCCTCTTCCGCCCAGAATTCTATTCTGTTTACTCCTCCCATCTATGTTCCAAGCTGAGGCCAAGCAGTTGGTTTATTATAACTTAACCAATGAAATCAACAGATTGATATATGACACTCCCACATCA